ATGGGCAGACTGCAAAAGAATTTAAATACGGATCGAATGTGGTGTGATGCGCTGAACAGCCTGACCAAGGAGTTAGAATCACGTGACTTTCCCGGTGAAGTGGCCAAACAACCGCTTAAATATTATCAAAGCTATACACAACGATGGCTAAAGGTGTGGCCCACACTCCTCGACTGGATGCTTTCTATTGGACATAAACAGCTGCTGCGCCGGCATATTGCCGGCGAGCTAAGTTTTAGCAGCAAGTGTGATGCCAAGTTGCTGGAGAATACAACAGAAACACTGAATCGGTAAATCGGGTGGATAAATCTGAGCTTGAAGAGTTTGCTTAATCGTTCCCTAATTTACAGGGCCTTGTTGCTGGAACTGTCGTCTAATATGAAACTATACGATGAGCAGGGCATGAGCATGCTCACCGAGCTGCAAGAAATACTTCAGTATACGGGCAACTATGATCCTCTGGAGCAGATCTTTATGACCCCCAAAAATTCGCACAATATGTCCTTATTTCTGTTTCTCTTTACCATTGCGCATGTGGGTCGCTTGCAGCATTCTGCAAATACGGACTGTTTACTTCCAAAGTCTGCTAAAGATGTCATTGATTGTGTGCCCTTAATTCTGGGACTACTAACAGTACTTCAACAATTTCACAAGAATGTTAAAACGCTGTATATCTCCTATTTGTGCCAGTATGTTGTAACTGTGGCCGAAGCACAACTACTGTGAGTATAAACCTTGTGAGATTTTGATGAATATTTAATTTTGCAAACCCTATTGCTTTTATAGAGATAAGGAGGTATTGGGTGCAGATGTTATTACTATGCTGCACTTCCTGCAGACTTTCGTACGTATGGCTGGTTTACCGCTTAGTGTCCTGGAGCAGCGTGTACCTAATATGCTTTTAAGCGAGTTTGATTATTTATCAACCCCTGTAAAGTAACATTCAACTCTAAGATAAATTTTGATTTTGATAAATATATACACAAATATAAATGTTTTTTCTTAAATAAATTGTAGCACACTTTTATGCGTAAACCGCTGGTGCTAGTTCTCAAATATTTACGAAAAGTAACAATATGTAATTCAATTCGAAAAATATTATGTGCATTGCATATATACTGTAAATGTAAAAAAGAAAAAAACGATAGAATGATAAATAAGATTGTTTTATTCACAATCTCAGTAAATAAAATCGTAAGTAAAACTGATTTAACTTTAAATTAATTATATAATTTGTGGGTAAAATTTTTTGAATCCCTCTAACATATTCAATTATAATTCACAATTTTAATTTTTCAAACTTTGGTTGAAGCTACAATCATTTTAATATAACAAATGCCGAAATAGGCTGCTAGCAACATCTAAATGGCAGTTGATTCTGTAGATTTCTCGCTTATGTGATGACAGTGGGTGCATTGCGCCCAGTAAACTTCGGAAGCTGTGAGATTTCCAATGCAATATCTATTAGCGGTTTCAGCATAACACTCGCCTGGCCCAGCACATTCTGTTTCTCATAAGAGTCGATGTACAAGCTATAGGCAACAGAGATCATTTCAATAGTAAATACAAAAAATACGTTATCTTAAATACATACCGTACGGTAGCTCCTGAGCTGCCTGTGCCACTAAGACGCATCACAATGCGGCTGCCATCGTCGAATACAATACGTAATCCCTGCTTGGTGGCCAAGGATTTGTCCACGGGATCTGTGTAGCTGAAGTTGTCCGCTTCCTTGACTTTATAGGTCTTGCCCTCGCTGGAAAAGCTCTTGCCGACAAATTCTGCAGCTGTGATGTTTTTCTCCATAGTGGCCATCATTTCGTTGCAGGGTTCCAAATCGCATTCTTCATAATCGTAGCGTGTGAAGTAGTTGCGTCCATAAACGGACCAATGCTGCTTAAGAATGTCCTCAATGCTCTTGCCAGTGTGTTGCATAACGGAAATCCAAGCGAGCACCGCCCAAATACCATCTTTCTCTCGTATGTGATTGGAGCCAGTGCCGAAACTCTCTTCGCCACACAGACAGAGACGTCCTGCGTCCATAAGATTACCAAAATACTTCCAGCCGGTGGGTACCTCGAATACCTCTTTTCCCAGCTTTTTGCCTACTAGATCGACAGCTGAGGCAGTGGGCATACTGCGTGCAAAGCCTTGTACTCCATTCTTTTGGAAATACGGGATTGCATCGAGATAATGCGCTATGACCGCCAAAGAGTCGCTGGGCGTTACAAAGAAGGCCTTGCTGCCGATTATCATGTTGCGATCGCCGTCGCCATCAAAAGCAGCGCCAATATCATAATCACCTTTGGCCACGGTCTCCACTAAATCCTTAGCGTAAGTTAAATTTGGATCTGGATGAAGTCCCCCAAAGTCGGGCAGTGGAGTGGTGTGAACCACAGACGCCTCCGTAGCACCTAAACGGTTCAGAAAGATCTCACGCACATAGGCACCGGTTACACCATTCATGGAGTCGATGCGCATCTTTAGGGGCTTTCCATTTGATTTGCCGCTGACAAAATCGTGCAGCTTGCCGAAATCAAAGATCTCCTCCATGTGACGTACATAGTTAGCTACAGAGTCAATGACTTCCACCACAAAAGGCTTGCCGCCAATGTCGTAGTTGCTGACGCCCACTTTTGAGATGTCAATCTGCAAGCTTGGCACCAGTGTGTAAGCCTTTATAGTAGTCGAAAGTTGGTAAATCTTATTGGTGAAGGCATCGGGCGCAGGTCCTCCATTCTCACAGTTAAACTTAATTCCGAAATCATTTTCCGGACCGCCAGGATTGTGGGACGCAGTCAACACAATACCACCTGAAAAAAATCCATTAATTTTAGAATTATTATTTTTACTGAATTCATATTTTATTCTTTAAATTTTAAAAAAATTTGCTCAATCGAAACAAGTTTTGTTTTTTCTTTTTCAAAATATTTTTGGAGACCATGACTTGATGACCTTGAAACCCGATCAAAGATTTAGGGAAAGAATTATTATTATAGTATTCATATGCGAGTATATTATATATGTATGTATTTAAATTAGAATGTCACTGAGCAAACGCCTATCTTTATCAGCTTCTATTCTATTGTGGATTACAAGTTATCTTTAAATCTTGATTAAGTAACTGCACTTACCCAGCGCTTTGTTGTGGCGTATTAAGCTGGAGACGGCAGGCGTCGAGAGTATCCCATTCTGACCCACCAGCAGCTTGGCCACTCCATTGCCTGCACAGATGCGAATAATGAGTTCAGCTGCCTCCTTGCAGTAGTAACGTCCATCGCCTCCTACAACCAACGTTGACCCTACCAGAGCTGTACCATTAGCTTCCAGAATGCATTGTACAAAATTTTCCGTGTAGTTGGGCTGCGTGAATACTTTCACCTGCAAAGCTTACATTTAAAAAATTGTAACTGTAAATTTCCATTTCTAATAGACTTTTTTGCGTAGTCCGCTAGTGCCTGGTTTTTGGCCTTCATATGGTGTAGTTTGCTTCGTTTCCACGTTTAGAGACATGCTTCGGTTGAGTTTTCCAGCTGCTGGTTAAATTCTGACTGTGGGCGAGTTAGTGGCAGCGCTAACAATCTTTTCTGTGTGATGAAAAAACGAATTCTGCTGCTGGTTCTGTGTCGACGCACTGATAAACGGACGACTCGGCTGTAGTGATACTAATAGGCGCTATCATGCTTACTTCGTGCAATTTGGCACGTAAAGTTGATTCATATTTTGTGTGCAGATCATTTTGTTGGGTGGTTGAGCGAAATCATTCGTGAAGCATAATCGTATATGTTATGTTGATACCAATTTAAGAATTTTACAAATAGCTGAATATGAAAACTTTTAAGCTGATCCATTGCATGTAGGGTGACAATGTCATTCAAGGGCAACCACAGGTGCCGGCAACATGATCCACCCCCACCGCCTTGTATCTGTCCTAAAAGTTGTTATTACTTTTTTTTTATTATATAAAGCGCATTGAAAAAATGAAATAGAATTTTACATATTAAAAAATTAATGTAATTCATAGATAATCAACGCGTAAACATAAATTTCGTTTGTTATTATTTTGGAGCCAAACAGCTGGGCTCCCAGTTTTGTTGCATTGCTGACTGCCGACGTGCTATCGTTATCGATGCCTGTAGTATCGATGCGAAATGTATTTGTACGAAGTTTGACAGCCGACAGTTTACACGTCACAAAGCAGCCACGAGAAAGTAGCGGTCTCTATCATTAAGCTGAATTTAGTTTAACACACATACCTGCAGCATTAAGTAACTACATTTAGTGTAAGTTGCCAAGAAATAAATATAATATTATAGTATTCTAGTGGCTGGCAAGTACTTATTTGCTATCCTTGGGTTAATAAACCAAATAATTACACGCGACGCCGCTTTCATCGAACCTTCCACGTCAACAAAAAGTGAAACGTTCCGAAATATTGTATATTTTAGCATGTTCAAAAAAACGATAGCGCTTTGCGCCTTGTTCGCTGTAATCAGTGTTTGTGTCTCCGAGGATGAGACACGTGCTCGCCTGCTGGTCTCTAAGCAGATCCTTAACAAATATCTCGTCGAGAAGAGCGATTTGTTAGTGCGCTATACAATTTTTAATGTAGGCAATGGGGCGGCTACAAATGTGCAGCTAGTGGACAACGGCTTCCATCCCGATGCCTTTGAGGTGGTCGGGGGCCAGCCATCAGCTACTGTGGAACGTATCGCACCGCAAACAAATTTTACTCATGTCCTGGTAGTGCGGCCCAAGGCTTTTGGCTATTTCAACTTCACAGCAGCCGAGGTTTCCTACAAGCCCATCGAGGAGGCTGAGATGGTATATTTTCTGTATATAGATTCTCTCACTACTTGGCTAACACGATTTCACTTGCAGCTCCAATTGGCCATTAGCTCAGAACCTGGAGAAGGTGGTATTGTAAATCTGAATGAGTACAACAAACGTTTCTCTTCCCATTTCTTCGATTGGGTGGCCTTTGCCATTATGACGCTGCCTTCTTTGGCCATTCCACTCATCTTGTGGCACTCTTCCAAAACTAAATATGAGCGCCATGGAAAGAACAAAAAGCATTAAGCACCAACCAACAAGATATTGCTAAAGTTCCATACAATATCGCCGTTTTAATTAAAAATCGTTTCATACCTCGTACATTCAACCACACACCCATAGATTATTTTAAAAATTGTAAAGCGTTAAATCGTTTTAGATTTGATACGAAATGAGAATTCAAGAAATCCACTGAAAGTTTATACTTTTTTTTTGTCGTTAAACTGCTTTTCTAAATAAAAAACTTAAATAAAAATTAAACGGCAAGTGTTATGAATGTATGGTATGAATTATTAATGAAATATTTGTGCCTAAGTATGTCCCATGCTTTGGCCTTTTTTTCTCATTTAATTTGTTTAACAATAAAATCTTTGACTCGAATTTTTTTTGTGTTTTAGAATGGTTTGTTTTAATTGAATTTTTATTACAAATGCTTATAATACAATTAGTATATTACGATAACAAATACTTGCGCCCAAAGATATCCGATTTCTTATCAAACATCAGCGATTTAATGGGCGTGTTAATTTTGTAGAAGGCGTTCATAGAATGCTTAATATACGTATCGTACATTTCATTAAAGAAGTTCTTTATGCCCTCATCGTTTTTATTGTCGTGCACAATGATGAAGCGTATCTGTGACGCTGTAATGAAAGCGGACACAAACCATTGATTAAAACGATCTATGCTTTTCAATTGCATATTAGCTGTTTTCCATTTGTGCTCATCTACCAAATCTAATGCAGCATGCGCTATAAACTGGTTAAGATGCCTGTGATCCTCCTTCTGCAATACAATTTTGTGTGAAATAAAACGCACTTCACCTCTGTTGGTTATATATTATACTATATATTAATGTATTTACGCGCTGTTCTTTGTTAACTGTGCTGAACTCTTTTTCGAATATGGGATTGTCATTGTGCCCAACTATAACAAAATAGTAAGTGGACATTGTGAATATTAAATTAAATAAATAAATTCACAGATACTACTAAAATGTATTTGCCGCTGATTGAAATTCTGGCTACGCTGATCTCCAAGCGTTGCCACCTCTGTGGCAGGAATACTGAAATAAGTATGCACCTTTTAGCATGTACATTTTATTGATAATTGAATATAATACTTATACTTAAATAAATACGACGGACTAAACAATATTCGCTAAAAAAAATATTTAAAATATCAATTTGCATTACCCAACTGAAACTAGTAATTGTTGGTATTTTTTCGCTTGCAATGTACGAGCACACAACAGTGCAACAACAATTCTTGCTTTTCTCACGTATACAAATACAAAACGTCAACAGCTGACTGGCAAAAACGTAATTTTTTACTTATAAATCAAATCTTTTAGTAAATAATGAGCAGACGTATGATCGTATGCTGTGTATGTGTGTGGCAGCCGTAATGTGGTGCAGTGAGCTCCTCTATAGCTTACATAATGGCAGCGACATTGCGTCTTAGTGGCGAAATGGTCAAAATCATCATCCATTCCAACTTGCAGGCGCAGGCCATACAAAATGTTGGATTGATCCGAAGGCATCTGAATAGCGAACTTACAACAGCCTTACGCCCATTTTATTTTGCTGTACATCCGGATTTATTTTGCCAGCATCCTGAGCAGAGGCAGACCAACGAGAATTCATTAAAGCTGCTCAGCGCTCATCTGGAGGCGCTGTACCAACAGAGCTATCGCAATGAAGAAGCCGAAGTTTTAAAATTCTATGTGCGGGAGAGTGCGGCTACTGAAAAGCGTGATATGTTTAGGCTGGTTCAGATACGCATGGATCGCAGTACACGTGACCCCAAAAAATTTATACAAGATCTGCTCGAGTCCTGCAATCTATCAACGGATTACATAAAGAGCGTAAAGTCCATGCCGCCAGTAAAACCACAGGAGAGTTTGGCCAACAAACCCAGCTACGATTATTACTACAACACGGACTTTTCTGCTTTTGAAACACAGTTTCGTAATGTAAATATCTATATTAGCGGCTCTATAAAATCTAATGCTCTTATTTTATAGGAAGCAACCAGCGCACGTCCAATTCTCTCCATTTGGATGGAGGAAAACGCTGATAAGGCTAGACAAAGGGCTAAAGAAACATCTGAAATGGAAGCGGAAATTGATAAACTTAAAAACGTGCTCGTCAGAGATTTGCAACTACGCGATGCTCGCTACGAATGTGGCTGGAATATAGAGCATTACAGGGGCTGTCTTAAATCGCTGCAGCGCCTCAGCCAAACCCATGGAACAGTTCTGGAGACATTGCGTAATCGCGTTGTAGTTTTTGCTCCGTTTACAGGCATCAGCTTGGAGGGTCATGTAATGCTGTTCACTGGTGATGTGCAAAACAATTGGATTGACTTTATCAAAAACATTCCGCAACATGATGCCTATTTAAATGTGGTACCAGTCTATGAGCTGACTCTATCCCAGGTTCTGCGCAACATACAGATCGGACGACGTAAATTTATGCCAAAGCAACAGGCGCGTGGCTATGCCAACCATCTTATGAAAGTAACGACGTCCCTCAACGATTTTTTAAGCAAACAATTGTATCCAAAAAGCTGGCCGCAAACGTTGAAAGAATTTACAATTGTTGTCGAATCTGAAGCGGGACCATTGATGGTTAGTCCAACGGGTCAGTTTATCACTCCCGCCACCTGCCCCGGGGTCATACTCGTAGATTTTATAAGTCAAAATATGAAGCTAGCACGTGAACGCATGACCAAATACGAAACGGATAAGCACATCGAGCAACAGCTCATCGAGGAGTCGATCACACGACTGAAACTGCAATCATTAACTAAGGACGATGCCGTAACTCCAGACAAGATGATAACTGCGCTACGTGATCTACGCCTGTGCCAGCCTGAGCATTTCGTTCACATCAAGCTGCATATATCCCATTACTATTCGGTGTTAACCGATGGTATTGTCTGTATACCATGGGATTTCATGCAAAAGTAGTAAGTAGCGTTAGCTTAAAAATTCTTGTGCCTTTCGATTAGTGACAATAATCACAATAATAAATTAGTTTGATCATAAGCGTAAAGTTAGTTAGTTTGTAAATTTGCCTAGAAATACGTTATTCATGTTTATGTTATGCCTGTTGAGTGTATGTAATATATATATATATATATAATGTTCAAAAGTAGGCATCTCCAGCAACTGACGAAGATTATCATGCACTGCTGCTTGTGCATCCACATTTGATTTCAACTCGGTGCGCTGCAGCAGCTGAAGATTGGCTAACGTCAATTGCGTGACGCTGCCACTAAAGTTACCTAGACGTTGCACTACACTGAGAGATGACTCAAGCGCCAATACTAGATTAAAAACTGCTTCCAATATATCGCGTAAGTAGTCCAGGGTGCTTAGGGTAAGTCGCTGAAGCAAGGAGTCGACTTTTGGAAAACTCGCGCTGCGGCTATCCGTGTGAAAGGGAGCCGCCAGCAAATGAGCGCTGCGCCCAACAAACTCCTGGTAGACCTGCACCAGTAACGCTGAAGGCATCTGCGGCTGTTGTGTAAGCTGGCTATACAGATCCAGTACCTTGAGAGGATCATAGATTTGCCTCATCTGTTGCAGCTCTTGCCACAGGGCTTCATAAACGGCTTGCTTTAGTTGCAACGTGCGCGTCTGACTGGCTAGTTGTAAGACAAAACGTCCGCGCTCCCAATCCCCATTGATTTCAGCGCGAATAATGTCCTTCAAGCTAAGTGGCGGCGTAATCTCTGTGGTCTCTGGAGTCCTTTTGCCTTCCACATTGATTTGCAGTATCACATCTACCGTAGAAGATGATGCATTCAGCACAGCCAGCAGTCTATTATTACTGTTGTTGGCATATCCATATCCTCCTCTCAAAGCTAGGAGCAACACCAGATAGACTACTGTTGACATTGTTAACTGCCGTTCAATTTGGCAGCACATGGCTTCTTATACCGAACAAATGGGAGCGGTTTTCATCTGTAATTTAGTCGAATATTTGCATTGGAATTTCTTGGTAAGTGGGATACTGATAAAACAAATAAATAAGCGTCATTTAATTGTTTGTAATGCAATAATCTATTATTTTCAACTACTATAAATCTTATTCCAATTTAAAAAGTAAACAGAGAGCGCCAGCTGGCGTCGAAAATTGTGCACTAAAATCTACGGCTATAATTAACAGACACTTCTACAACAGGTGGCGGTAAAAATTATCGATAGCTACTCGTAATTCAAATGTTATTGGCTAAAGTTTTTTATTAGGCCAAATGACAATGCAGTTCCTTAGAATTAATATCACAAAAACATACTTAGCTTAATCGGACTATGAAAAATGCAAAAATACCTAAATGAATGAGTCGCTATCGCTATTAAATACTAATAGGCTGTTTAAAGTTTGGTGGAGTTACGCGATTGAATTGAACGCCGTAAAATGCTCGAGCGCAGCTCACCGCGTGTAGATGCAGTTAGCGAAGCGCCCGTTTGAGTGCCACGCACAAACGCCGGCGAACGCACCTCCTCTACATCAGTATTGCATTTATCCTCATTGTTTAGCTGCTTGGCTAGACAGGGAAAATCCCAAATGCTCTGACCACGTCCAAACTCCTCGCCATCGCTCAGTGTCTGTGGCAATTGGTGATTCAGTGTCTCCGGCAGCAGCAGCGCCAGCAAGCCACCCGCTATACCCAGCAGACCCAAGATGATAAGCGGCAGTGCAGGCGATATGTTAGCTAAATATACAACAAACGGTGCTATAATGCTGGCCACATAGCCCATGATGTGTATAAAGGCAACGCCCTGAGCACGCACTACAGTGGGTAATATCTCAGCTGCATACTGCAGTCCAATATTATAGCTAATGTTCACAAAGAAACGACCCATTATAGCCAACGTAGCGGAATATACGCCTACCGGTGCTATTGTAGCCAGAAGACTAAAGATGCCACTGGCAACCATTGAGCCGCAAGCCAACCAACGCCGTCCGAAGCGATCTAGTGTAACAGTAAGTAAAGTATCTGCAGGTAGCTCCGTAAAACTGGCCACAGTAAAGGTGAAGAAGATGTCCAGACCGAGAGAGCCGACATTACGTACATGACCATCAAAGACCAACGATATAGCCATCCAGATGACAATAAGCAGCAAAGTGGTGCGTCGCAAGCGTGGAGATTTGAAGAGATCCAGAACAGAGTAACTAGCATTCTGTTCCTGCTCCTGGTCCCGCATACGCTGGCAGCTGTCCCTAAAGTTCTGATACGTTTGTTTCGGAACATGACGACCATTTCGACGTTCCAGCTGGCGCAGTATAGAAATGGCTTTATCTACCTTGCCCTGAGAGACAAGCCAACGCGCCGATTCGGGCACAATGAGAGGCGTAAACACCACCAACAGCAATGGAGCTGAGGTAATGATGGTTAAAAGCTTCCAATCGGCGACAAAATACGCAATCCAGGGCAATAAACAGGCGGCGCCTGTAAAGAATATGGCGATGGACATGTTGGCAACAAAAGTACGGTATTTGGGGCCCACATATTCGAGCACTGCGAAAAGAAAATAAAAAATCATATTGATAATATTTATATATATGTATATATACATATCGAGCAGAGAAAGAGACACACTTTCACTTACCTAGTATGTACATCATGGTAAAGCAATTATCGAATGCAAATCCTACAAAGAAACGCATTGTGGCAAATTGCCAAAAGTTTTTAGCAAATGCAGTTGCGACACCCGAAAGTAATCCCATTAGATTACAACAAATGAGAGCTGGAATACGGCCAAAGCGATCAGCTATCCAGCCAAAGAGCAAGCCCCCAACAATGGCACCCAGAAAGAAAATGGATTGAGCATAGGTGGGTAACGCAGCATCATCGCAGACCCAATTCTGTTCAGTGGCCACCGTGGAGTAAGGTATTTCCGTAAAATTATATGACCAGCCATTGCGACATTTGACACGTGGCCAGTTTGGATCTGCCATAATTTTGCCCTGGGCCATGAGTTCCGTATAGTTGACATCGTACATATAGCAATTGTTGTACTCCCCATTTACCATGGGAATCGACAGGGCCAATCTGTGTGCGGGCAAATTGAATAAAAGGTGTTGCAATTGGGTTAGTCAAGTTTCGAGTAACGAACGTCGACGGTCATGAGCCCACCAAGGTCAGCGACGCATTGTCTATCCGACAACTGAGAGCTAAGAGCTTGGATAGCATAATTATCTTGTGATCTTGACAAAAATGTTTGACGATTCAATCATGCTGTTAACTCTATGTACATACATATGTCTAAAATTATAGTTAGGTAAGATTGATGACTTGGCGAGGTAGAGCGAGGCGAGGATTGTGAGAGGATTTAAATGCCTTATGACGGCACAGTATTTGTATTATTTATTTTACTCTATTCTATTCTCTATTCTCCCTCTACTCCATTGAGTATTATTGAAACTCTATAAATTCTTATTTATTTTTAAATATAAAAATATATTTGTCTATATCTTTGTTTTTAAGAGACATTTTAGTAGTATAAGTATATATGTTTTCAGTGTACATAAATGGATATATGTATATTTAAGATAAAGTTGTATCTCACACTCAAATTAACAAACAGTTTGACAGTTTATTTATTTATTTTATTTTTTTATAAGATCAACAATTCACTTAACATCGTCTTTATTTTTTATGTAAATACTTTTACTGTGTGGCACAGTTGAATTGAACGCTTGTTTGAGTTGAGCTCAATTTCAGTAAGATTTAAAATTGTGGACGAACTCATAGCCGAGAGGTGACAGTATACAAAATATACCACTGATTTAAACTCATGTGGGTTTTATTGCTAATTTTATATAATATACTTTTATTTATACATTTTATTCATATTAGTATAAAACTGGTTATAAGACACAATCATATAATTGACCATAATTCATAGCCCTAAGTACTACTTCTACGAATTTCTTTTGATAATTTTGATAAAAGACGATTAGAGACAGAGACGAAAAGAGAAACGGAAAAATAGAAAGAGAGGGGAAGAGAGAGATTTTAGTACAACTCCCTAATGATATATTCAAATATAAATTACGAAATTCCATTAAGAATCATATATGCCAAGAATCAATAAGTTTTGAGTATCATGCCGTCATTGCTATCTGGCCATGCAGATTGTAGTGAGTATGTATATAAATATATTTTTTTCTTTATTTTCTGTTTTCCCTCGGAGGCGCCAATATTTAATCTAGTTTATATTCTTTTCGCTTATACCCATTTTGAGTGTATTCGAGTTTCGGTGTTTGGCTGTTGTCGTTTGACGTTTCTATCATCGGAAAATTTGTAGCTCGTGTTTGGTATCGCCACACAACATTAGTTAGTTAGTTGTTCATATTCATTTGATGTTGTTGTCGTTGTTACCACGATTATTTCACTTGTGCGTCAACTGCGCTGAAATTGCGCTGCGGCTGCGCAGTCGCAACATGCGCTGCTAATTATGGCCTGGCTTACCTGGCTGGTCTACCTAACTGGCGGGCTAGCTAGCTGCTTATCTAACTGTCTCTGCCACTATTTGAATTTGCCTCAGCTTTGAGCAAAGTTCCCCCGATACTCTGCCTCATAAGGTTCTTTTAGCTGGGGTGATTAAAAACTAAAATTTAAAAACCTACAATCGTTTTGCAAGGTTAGACGTCATTCTAAGCCGCAGAACTTGGACGAGTTAATGACTTTGATCAGAACTCTCGAATTTATTTCGTTTTCGTGTTTGATTTGAAATTTGCTTAGATCAATCATTATTGGGCGCTCCAAAAATGTTATTATGAACTAGTTTTTATAATAGCTGCGCTTAAATATTTCACAAAAGTTAAATTTAATTCTTATTACTTCATTCTGACACCGCCCTGTCGAACTCAAGGCGTTGTCAACCAAAGGGGTTTTTAAGACATTGAGCGATATTTTAAAAGTTTTGCTAAATGGCAATAATAAATAAATAAATTACTTCCGGATGATTGAGAACCGCACTGAAACTCAAATAGAAATTTTCATTAAGTCTACAGAGTATTTCTCTCATATATAATAGATATTTACGGCTTACAACATGAGAAATAAAGTTCTATTTAAATGTTAAACAAGCAGGAACTTGAAAACAAGTCCGAATATAAAATCATTTTGTCTTAGCTACTTGTTATATGCATATTCTTAAGACTATAGTTTTTGAGATTTTTGCAAATAGTTATAAGAGAGAGAGCACATTTTAAAATCGTTCAAATTTTTATAGTTTCTTTAAGAATGAAGCCATCAACATGCCAATAAGCCTTAAATAAAACTGACAACATCAGCATAAAATCACATGAAGTATTAAAACTATGCGCTTTGGATTGAGATTGCAAAAACAACATTCTAAACAACAAGTGCATGGTCTAGTAGCAGTTATTAAATGTCTTAAGCTAACCAGTCAGCCAGCTTGCCAAGAGAAACTGGCCCAGCCAACTGTAATGATTCACACTCAGAGTACTCAAAGTTTTAATAGTCGCAAAGCTCACCTTGCCTCCACATCGAGTGCATCCAACTCGGGTACATGGCACCAATGCTGCTCCGGTATAAGTGTCATAAAGATTTGTGAGAAATACACAAAGGCCACGAAGAACGAGAAGGGAATCATGCACAGGAATAAAATCTTCTGATATCTTCCAAATTCGCCAATCAATGGTAGGAGATCATCGAAATCCATGACGGGGGCTGCGAGTGCTCGCTGCTCTTTGTTTTTTTTGCCCGATAAATCCAATTGGAGGTCCTTGTTACCACCGCTGCGACGCCGCGGTTGATTCTCTGCCGCTATTGCTCCACCGCCTCCACCGACTCCATGTGGTGGCTCTTCGTGTTTATATGCTTCATTGATGAAGTATGCTTGCTTCGCTTGACCTTCCATGTTCACTGACCTTCGCCGTTAACTGTGTCACTTGTCTATGCTTGTGGCTTTTGAATTGTAAGCTGTACGTATTCGCTACGATAAAAAATTCACAGAAAAAGGCGCAATCCGTTCAAAAAGTATATAACTAAAGACACGAACTCGAGAGCGCAC